ACCATCACAACTATCATCATCATCATCACCATCACAACTATCATCATCATCATCACCATCACAACTATCATCATCATCATCACCATCACAACTATCATCATCATCATCACCATCACAACTATCATCATCACCATCACAACTATCATCACCATCATCACCAGTTTAATCATCAATATCGCCACCATCATTGCCATCATCGCCACCATCATTACCACCATGACCAGGCTGACCCAATATTGATTTAGTTATGGACCATCTTTTCTCTAAATATTCCTAAGATGAAAGACCAATACAAAATCGTGAAGCAAAATGTTGAGGAAAATATCGAGAAAGCCAAAGCGAAATTTGAGGAAGCGAAAGAAAAAGCGAAAGAACATGTCGAGAAGCTGAAAGATCAAGCAAAGGAAATCAGGAAGGACGTTGAAACAAAGGTCAAAGACTATGTCGAGAAGCTCAACGACACTGTTTTGGACATGAGGGAAACTGTCTTAGGTCATGTGGAAACACTTAAGGTAAGTCGAAGTCATAGTAACAAGTCATTCTGTGCAAATGTTTAATGATTTGTATTATTCAAACCTTTAGAAATGTATTGTCTTTAACCTATTTAGATGCAAGTTTATTAGCATAGCATGACCAGTTGCCATGGCTAGCTTCGCCACTGAAGATCGAAACGAGAGCTCCTGAATATAATTTATTCAGGGTGCAATTATTTACGTAACAGGGCAGCGGTACATAATTGATGAACTCAAATAGGTCAACATTAGTTTGGTGTAGGTTTTGAAGGTGAAAAAACAAAGAATGGAGTGGATCTCAAGAGAGAATAGTTCAGAACTGACATAGCTATACAGTCAAAATAAACTTACAGTTTACAAATTTGCTAACAACTTGGAATAATCAACGGAAATGTGAATTGATGATATAAGATTTTGCGTGTGAATTAGTGGGTTGGGTTAGTGGGGCAGTAGACTGTGTTAAACTTCAGAGCCTCTCTCCTCCGCAGAGGCTTTAGTTGTCTTAGGATTTATTACGATGTGATACATTTCACTATACTTTACATGTCGGATCTTGGAACATGACTGTTAAATTACATCTCTCTCATATTAGGGAGCTTCAGATTTGACTTCTACTACAGCCATCTCTCAGTTGCGGGTACACACGTAAAAACGCACAAGTTGTAACAAACCTGCAGCAGACTTGTAGTAGTGCTGGTCCAACAACTTGTCAACTGGATGTGCATGTTCGCACTGTGCGTGACAACTTTGTAGCAACTTGATAAAATAACAGCATTGTTACAACGTGTGGACAAGCTTGCTGCAAGCCTGTTGCGAACACATCTTGTTGACAAGTTGTGAGACTTTTACGTGTTTATAACACGGTTAAACCGTTGCTATTTAAATTCCTAGAGCAAAGCCACCGATTATAAAGACACCTTGGAAGATAGATTTGATGAATACAAAATCAAAGCTAACGACATGAAAACGACCATCACAGAGCACGTGAACAAATTGAAAGACAACATGAAAGAAGTCAGAGAAACCGTTGTTGGTCACGTGAAAAATTTCCGCGAAAAAGCCGACGACCACGTGAACAAATTGGTGGAAAAGGCCAAAGAAGTGAAAGAAAGAGTAGAATCCGCAATCCAAAAGCAAACCGAGAAAATGAACGAACGTTTTGAAGATCTGATGCAGCAGTATGAAAAGGCGATGGCACGAGCAGTTTCGATGCAAAAAGAAGCCGAAGCTAACTTGAGAAGAGTGATGGAACAAATGTCAAATGGAAGCCAAGTGATGTATGAAAAGGCAAAACGTCTTGCAACAGAAAATGTCGAAGTTGCAAAAGGATACATAAACAAAGTGCAAGACGTCTTCACGAAACAAATAGAGAAGCTCACTTTGGAGGTTGGTTTTGGTTAAGGACTATAGTTTGTATACATAAAGGGGGCTAGATCCCATTTCTCCGCCCACATTTTCTCTAAATCCTATATTCCAGTCCTTTTTTAGATCAAATCCCAGTCCTACCGTGAAATTGAAGGAAAATCCAAGAAGTATATGACTGACTTACAATAACAGAAAAATGACCTCATTGAGCCATAAGCCAGTTATCCTAAACTTTTTTTGTTGAAATTTTGAAATTGCTCTGTAGCTGTTCTTAAAGTTATTTCACTTTGAAATGTCCAACTACAATCGTCTTTATAATGGTATTCGGTCATTCCCATTTTTGTGTCTTTTATTCCCAGTCCCCATTTTCCCAGTTCAAACTGAAATAGGCAAATCCCAGTTCTCATTTACCCCTTCGGGACCCTCCGTAAAACACACTTTTAGTAACAGATTCAGTAATGGTCATCCCTTGTTGATCCGGTGCTACCACAGGGGATAACCACGTACACCGTCTATAGGGTTATTTCGATACAATGTCCGTTATTAATATTTCATTATTTTTCTCACCGTAGAAAACAGAAGAAGTTGTGGAAACACTGCCACAGAAAGCTCCTAGTAAGTACATTCAACAAATTTCCTAGCAAGTTTCCTAGAAAGTTCCTAGTAGTTCCTAGTTTCCTAGAAAGTTCCTAGAAAGTTCCAACATTCAACAAATTTCCTAGTAAGTTTCCTAGTAAGTTTCCTAGAAAGTACATCCTACATTTCACGATGTGTTTAGATTTGTATATCTTGACCTTTGAGAAAACTATTAAGAAACGTTTTCAGAAATATTCATGTTGTTTCCAACGCCGCCAAGTGTGTGTGACATTTGTTGCGGAAAAATCTGTCCTTCTCCGGAAAACATGGCCAGGGAACATTTTTTTCTGTTTTGCCAACCTTCGGGGAACATGGCTAGAAAACAATGTTCATGTGCGAAAATATAGTTTGTTAAAACTTCTTCTTATCTTTATTTTAGCCCTTCAAGCCAAAAAGTTAGCTTATCTCCGCTTGAGAAAGAAGCTTCGATCAATGATACCAGCTCCCGGCGGCTTATAATTGAACTACCGCTGGATTAAGAACATATATAATTATAAACGTACTATTCACTGATTTCAACTTGTTTGCGGGTGTTAATAATAACTCCGCTATATACTTACGTATTATAAATAAGTGTCTGTTTGTTTTCTAATTTCACTGGTGGGTTTGAGGTCATACTGGCAATATGCACGCCAGTTAAAGGATTGTGAGATGCATTTGTAATGTAGCACCTTGTAATATCACGGACGATATAATAAATTAATTCACTGTAACATTATTTTTGCTTGCATTGTATTTGATGTTTTGAAACTAAACTTTATATTTATATACCGAATAGCTCTGCAACCTAGACCAGAGGACAGGGCGTGTGTTTTCGCGCGTGCGCTGTGTGAAATTTTGCAATATTTTCGTTTCATTTTTTCCGTTAGTTTCAACCTAAAATTTATCACCATTACAAGACAATATCATTCTAATTTATTTATTTACTATCAATATACAAATTCGTTTATTTACTTATTATACCGATTCTAAAATATTGCATACGTTCCTACAGTGTGCTTAATTAAAAAAAACCCTAATATAGATATTCGAGAACACATTATTTTAATTAGTTATACTTATATAATATATTGGATTATTAGCACATCACAGCGAAATATATAAAACGTTTAATTAGTTATTGAGCTATTTGCAAAATATTAATTAAAGTGCTGCCATTGCTGAATTGAGAAATTATGAAATTATGAAGGGCTAACCATTCTTGTACAGGATTTTCAGAAAGTTAACCGTCCACGAGAAAGTTGCAAATTTCGTTCTTGCAACCAACTTTCAGGCATAGCCAGGGAGGGGGGGGGGGAGCTTACCAGAATACCAATATACTCGATAATACTGGCGCAGTGCACCTAAAATTCCAGGCTACGTCTGAGTGCTGAATCTTGGCTAATGTGGAATAATATACAATTACTTTATGGTTTCCGTGTTTGGATGGCCTGATCCAAACACGCGGGAATGTTGCGAGAGTTAAGAAAAGCGCGCGAAATCACGAGCCGAAGGCGAGTGATTTTGCGCGCTTTTCTTAACTCGAGCAACATTTCCAAGTGTTTGGATCAGGCCATCCTAACATGGAAACCATAAAGTATTGTTTTATAAAATAACAACAACACGATAGTCTTCCGTGTTTGGATGGCCTGATCCAAACACGGGTTTCGACCAATCAGAACACGCGTTATATACATGTTATTTTATAATACTTTATACTCGTATTTCAAATACCGTATTCCAAAACTAAAATGGCCTAAATAAATAAATATACTTGAAATCCCTGGTCGGGCTGGAATTTACATTTTGAACCGAGTGCTTAGTGCGTTCATAGTTAATATAGAAGACCATGGTGCGTTGCAGGGCAGGCCAGGCAGCGTGTTGTGATAGTTTTACCTCGTACCCAGGCGCTTTAAATAATTATAATACATGAAGTACTCAGGCAGGCGACGCGCGAAGGGGCTGTTGGGAAGGGTGCGTACTGGGGTGCACTCTAGTCCTGCACCTGGACATTTACTCGCAGTAAAACGTCTGAAAAGGGAAAATCCTACTTAAAAATTTGGCAAATGTAGTTTGGATAAAGAGTAAATGCCTTCAAGTTTGGATTCAAATTTCCGGTTGGAGGTAGCGTTCCAGTTATATGCAGTTCATAAGTTCAGTAGTATTCGTAGGTTTGCATGGCGATAAAACATATAATACTTTTTGTTTGTGGAAACACCACGTAAATTTATTACTGCAATGCTTTCGATCCGTAAGCCCGGATCTTCATCAGTGCTAATAATCATTCTGGTACCCGTTTGAATAGTCAGCAAAAAAGGCCATGCCTTCTGATTGCACATGACGTCACAGCGCCGGTGACGATGCATCTGGAGGACAAAGTAAATTTTGTAAAACTTTATAATAATTTTGTATTAAAATGGTTCATTTTTGCGCTGTATGTGGTTGATGTACCCGAACAGATATTGTTAGGGAGCATCTGGAGGACACTCTAAGGATTTGTGACGTCAGTGCAATGGGTCTATTAGCACTAGTGAAGATCCGGGTTTACGGGTCGAAAGCTTTGCAGTGATAAATTTGCGGGATGTTCCACAAACAAAAAGTATAATATATTCATTTCACCGTTCACAACACCGTTTCAACCCTTCTCCTGGGGGTACTTGGCGTTGTTTTCGGTGACAATTTGGAATAATGGTTTCCAAGATCTTGTCGGCTATGTGCGGGCTTCACCCCTTTCAACTCCAAAATTTCTTGGTCAATGTTACTTATCGAGCTGGACAGAGGTGGTGGGATTTGAAGTGGGAGGTGGTTCGCGTTTTCCTCGCGGGCTCTTCGCTCCTGTCGGGACTGCTCGGCAATCTGTCGGGCGAGCTCTTCCTTGTAGTAATACTCGAAGTTGCTAACAATGACGGGGACAGGCAAGGCGATGGCAAGTACACCTGATAACGCACACATTGCCCCAATGACTTTACCTATATATAGGTAATAAAATAAATATATTCATATACTGAGGCAAGATAGCGCAAATCGAAGAGCTATAGGTAATAGACCTTTCCCTTTTAAGTGAAATTTTGATCTAGGCAAGTCTGGACAAAAATTTCATCACAGCTTGAAAGAGCATCGCAAATTTAGTAATATTCCGAAGTTTCGTTGCAAAATGTTGTAAAATGCGGATAATATAGCCTTGCGAAGTTTGCCGTTTTTCAGTCATTTTGATTACAAATGGGAAATTGATAATCAGATGATCAAACTGATTATCAATTTCCCGTTTGTATAAATGCAAAATGACTGAAAAACGGCAAACTTCGCAAGGCTATATTGTCCGCATTTTACAACGAAACTTCGGAATATTACTAATTTTGCGAATTAAAATATAAGCGCGTATCATATTGCTGATTATGCTGAAAAAATAAAAATGGTGGCCGTGTAAACACGGAGTGATAGCTTATACAGTTTTTATTGAAATATTTCAGCATAATCATGATACCTTATATGATACCTTACTTCCAATAGTATACCTTACTTCCCATCACCCCCTGCGCGCATAAATTAAAAGCTAGAATTGCCTATTGAACATTTGGACGTCAGTTCCATTCCCTTTCTATGTTTTTGTCTGCGCGGTTAAAATGAAGCTGGCAAGGAGTGTGCCGAAATTTCGTACTTTGACCAGCTCGATTTAAAGCGCGATCGACCCCCAAATATAATCAGGGCCCTGATATAATTTTTGGTATGTGTAATATTTGGGTCATTCTGAGAAGAAATGTAATGTATCTTAAAAGTAAAAAACCTCACCTTCATAAACCTTTTCACTGTCAAAGTTTTCAGATATGATGTCATTTGGTGACGTTTTGGTACAAAAAACAATGGAAAACTAATTTGCAATTCACCTAATGACATCATATGCAGTGTTACAACAGGAGGAATTTTGGAAACCTACACTTCTCATTCCGTCCCGTCTCGATAAAGGGGAGTTATATTAACGGGTCCGAAGATACATTACGACACTGTATATATATGCACGTGACCTACCTGGGTTAGTCTTGGGTGATACGTCACCGTATCCTACCGTTGTCATGGTAACGATGGCCCACCAGAAAGAATGAGGAATACTGGGAAATTGTTCTGTATTTTCCGTATTCTCACAATAATATACACCACTTGCAAACAATATCACGCCCATGATCATAAACAACAGCAACATAAACAACTCGCTTCGACTCGACTTCAGTGTATGGCCAAGGATATATAACCTAAACGAATAGCAAATGAGATTAGCGTGCTGTCCCAGCCTGCACAGGGGGTGGATGGAAGGGAATTTAGTGTAGATAAGCAGAAAATAATTATAGTTTGTTCTCTTCTGTGATTTGACGTTTTTTCTCCGGGAAATCCTGTTTTCCGTCCTCATTAAGAAGTATACACGTAAAAACAGGCAGTTTTTACAAATCTGTAAACACGTTGTAACAAGGTTGTTGGTCAAGCCGATATCAGGATGTGTTCGCACTGCTTGTTCCCAGTTGTTGTGACAAGTCTGGAACAAGTTGTTATCACCTTGTTACAAGGTTGATACCGAGAACAGACTTGGTACAAGTTGTTCCAACAAGACTAATACAAGCTGTTCGTAACAAGTTGTTACGAGCTTGTTGTCATTAACTTGTTAACAACTTGTTAAATGCAGACGATGTCAGACTTGTTGGAACAACATGTTGCGAGTCTGTTGTTGGCCCCATCAACCTTGTTACAAGATGATAACAACTTGTTCCAGACTTGTCAACAACTTGGACTGACAAGCAATGCGAACACGTCTTGTTGAAAAGCTGTGAAATTTTTACTCGTGTATCACGGGCCTCTATCTCGGGTGAATTGGGCAAAGACATTAATGTAATATATTTAAACAAACAAACAAACAAACAAATAAATAAATAAAAAGATAAATTGCTATTACCCTCTGGAATGACGTGTTAGTTTGAAAATACGGACAACTCTCACGACTCGCAAAACACGAAGTACTTCCAGCGCTCCGCCCGTTGCGTTAACGCTTTTCATGATAAGATCAATGTAAAATGGCAAAATTGACAAAATATCGATGATATTTAAAGTCCCTTTCAAAAACGTTAACTTGTTCTTAGCGCAGGCAAGCCGGATTATATACTCTACAGTGAACCAGGCGTTGCATACGGCGCTAATCATAAACCAAACTTCCATATCTTTCAAGCTGGGTAAACTTTCGATACAAAATACCACGATGGATATCAAGATGATACCAAGCGAAACGACAGCCAGTAACCTAGCAACCACAGATGACGTAGGCGACTCAAATGCTTCCCAAACCATGCGCTGGTATTTGTTTTCTGGTAGTTGATCTTCGGGATCTTCTGCCTGAATATTAAATTGATAAATTTAGCACTTTTGCCTAGAACTGTCGCATGCAACCTGCCTACAACTTGAGTTGTACTGCAGGCAGGCAGGCAGGCAGGCAGGCAGGCAGGCAGGCAGGCAGGCAGGCAGGCAGGCAGGCAGGCAGGCAGGCAGGCAATACTTTATTTAAAATTAACAAAAAGGAACACGCTAGCCCCATAATAAATAAATAAATAAATAACTATATCTAAATACTATATATACACACTTTTCTATATACAAATGTATGCATGTCACTATCCAACATTTAATCTAAACGAGTGAAGCGAACTTGCTAGTTTCGCTTCATTTGGAAGCTGATTCCAGTACAAAGCGCCACTATATTTAAAGCTTTTTTAAAGTGTATATGAAATGAAAATTTCGATATCGGGTTTTTTGCATTTTCTGAAAATTTGGTCTTTTCCGATTATAAAAATACAAACCTTGTTGAAAAATTCGAACCAGAAGTTTGTTAATTTTACGATTAAAGTTCGCTTTTTCGACTATCTACTGGCGAAAGACTGGTACCTAGAGTTCCGGGCCTTGTGACGTATGCAGTATGACACGCCAAAGTGTTTCACTAAACGAAAACAACAAAATAACACAAACATCAGACAGTTGCCTTTATATTTCGCTATAAAAATCTCCGATAACGAAAGCTTTGAATCACAGACAGAGACAGAAGGGTCAACAGATAATGAGGACATCGCTGAGCAATCGTCTGTTGTTCAGCCATCTCAATTTGAGCATATAGTGACTACGAGGAAGACCAAACGGACGAAGACGGCATTCTTCATGATACTCTTGAGGCGAGTTTAAGAAAAATGTAGCTGTTAATTCATGGTAAGTAAAGTTATAAAAGTAATATTATATTAACCCGTTCCTCGACTATTTATTACCCTGTTTCGTCTGATATGCGAGTTTATTTTAAGGTGCTCATGTGGACATTGTAGCGACGAATTATTGCAGGAC